TTCCACTTCATTATCAGTTAAAAGAATTTACAGTGTGACAAATCCAAAAAACTTTCTTGGATATTAATTACGTACTGAGAAGTTCAGATGAGATGATTATATTTTTTCCTTCTCCCATCCAACTAAGGTATCCATCAGGATACCCCTAGTTAAATGGCTTGTATTACAGAAATTGATTATTGAACTTATTTATGAAATGTCTATACCTATTCACTTTATTTTCTCAAAGAAAATACTGTAATTTGTCAACGTCCTATAGCCAAAGCCTAGAACAAACTGTTACTCTGTTTCATTTTACTGGCATTACATGCTGTTCAGGAACAGATTTTGAGTTACTGTAACAGCCTTCTGCTGCTGATTTTAAAACCAGTTCAAGAACAGAAAAAAAAACACCCAAATGGTAACATCCAAGAGACAGTGATGGGAAAGAAGGGAAGAACTGGAGATGGGACATAACACTAAGTTTCTGGAAAGCCTCACTGCATATGCATATATTCAACTCACAGCACATGTGTCATGGTCCCATAGTTGCACCATGATGGGCACTTAATTTCAGACCACTTTCAGAAAAAATACTTCTCCTAGAGAGCAGAAAAAAATTTTTTTTTCTTTATTTCCCCAAAAAGCTCCTTCCCAGTTATCATGCACTTTAGAAATTACAAAAAAAAATTTACAAAAACACCAAAAGCAAAATACACATTTCTGAAAAACTCTTAAGAGTACCAGCTCTGGATTAGGACATAATAGGATTGCTCAAAGCAAACAAGTGGGTTACTTTACTTATTCTTTTTTTTTTTTTTTAAATAGTTGCTTTTTTAATACAAGTTTTATTCTGTAAAATAGTTTCAAATCCTTACATATATGGCAAAGTTTGTGCAAAATTTCAAGTCAGGTACTTTAGAGTCTTTCAACATTAAACAGAAATCAATAAATACAAGTAGTACAACAAAAGTTAAAAAATATTAATTAAAATGCATGTTGTGCAACCTCAAAATAGGTGTTATGGACCCCTTATTCCCAGAGGCTCCTTACTTACCAATTCATAAGAGCCTGTATTGGAAGGTTTTGCACAAGTATCCTTAGCACTGCGTTTCAAGAATCTACCCAGTAATGTGTCTATTCAACACAATAAAAACATACCACAATCTTTTAACAAATGATGATGTTCAAGATAGAAGATTCGTTTCACCCTGTGAAATCTGCTTATTGTCTGTGAACAGTGAAAATCAGATAAATAAAGAACAGAGCAACTTCAGGTAACAGCAAAACAAAACAACACAACCCACCCAACCCCTCAGATTAAATAACGTTAAATATGTCAGTCTTGAGATAATGATAAATACAAGGATTTTTGCATAGGCCTCTGGAATACAGAGTCAGAATTATGGCCAATAAAACATCTGCTAGTAAGTCGAATTTTCCACCACTCTAACCTAATGAGTACTCAGAACCAAGAAGTTAAACTGAATAGTAATTTCATTGTCTAGTAACTCAAATCAACAGAGGTAAGAAATTATTTCTGCCATCCTGAAATACATAGTGCAGCATTCTGGTATTCGTGGTCACCACAGACTTCAGTATTTGCTTAATTACTAAAATCACTGGGCAATACAATCTTTAATACAGACCTACAATATAAGAAAACACTCTCAAAAGAAGCTGCACAGCTCATAACGAGCCTCAGAACATAACAGGATGGAGTATGCAAACACTAAAGAAACATGCTATTTTTAATATTCACTCAGGATTTGCAGGCTGTAGATAAAACAGCCTCAAAGGCAGTCAATACATAGGAAGTAGTTTAATGTATGGCATCAATCAATGAGATGTAGGTATGTTCTCAATGCATCTTTGGTTTAGGGAGGCGGGAATGCCGATTAGAGGGCAAACTATCCCCAGCATGCAAACCGGTATTCTGTGTTTGCACATTTTCCTTTCTCTGTACCGGTGGCTTTGGGATGTTAGTCTTCAAACAGGTGTTTTGAGGCTCTGCAGATACTGGTGTGGATTTCTGACTGCTCATTTGCTTAGATTTAACAAAGGACATAGTTGGTGGGCGAAGTTTAGACACTTTCTGACTCTGTTTACCCTTTAGGTTATCCTGACCAGATGTTGGCTGTAGCTGAGTCGAACTACTTGATGGTAGAAGCTCAGGTTCCTTGGAAGCAGCGGAATGATTTGCAGATCGTGCGAGAACGGCCATTGTAGGAGGCACTAAAGCATTTGGGGGCTTTGCGATTCTTAAAGTCTTTGGCCGAGAAGCCTGGTTTGTGAATGCGGGTTGACCTTTCACAGCTAATTCAGTCTGCACTTCTCTAGCATCAGCTCTTGTAGAGGTCTGAAAACAGGAACGAGATGGTAATGTACCTTTATTACTAGCCACCTCTCCAGGGTCTTCAGTATTTTTATTTTTCAGATTTTCCAAATATGATGCATTCTCATCTTTTATGTTTAACTGTATGCTCATTAAAGTGTTTACATTATTCAGGCTATTTGTGAGAGAGACATTTGCAGCATTTTGATTTTGATGATTGCTATTTTCATGCAGACCATGTTTAGGATATTCACTGTGGGCCTCGATATGTGGCATTTTTATTAGTTTTCCCTGGGCGAGGTCTGTGGAACTGGGAAGGCTGCTGGAAGGCTGTAGTACTTGAGGCTGTTAAAGAGAAAAGAATACAATAATATATTAGGCAAAGAAAACACCAGGTAACATTCTGAATCCAACGTGCACTGACTGGATGCTTGATAAGGGCCGTATATCTGGGTTTTTTTAAATCAAAACTTTGACACTTGCAGAACAGGATGGTTCATGGGACGTATACAAATGTGACTTGTAACTTAAGTGGAAAAAAATTATGCTAGCACTGAAATACACAACAACGTAAAGACAAAAAAGAAACTGATTAGCTTAAAAAAGAAACATGGAAGAGGCATGGTTGATGGTTTCACCTAAATCTGCAGGACAACAAGAATGGCACATGAGTACTGATCAATTCTGATTCAAGTGCTTAATAAAAAAATGCAATGGCTATGACTGTATCCATCTTTTAATTTCTATTCACTGCATACTCAAGTTAACTATTCCAAACCTTTTATCAATGTTCTATACTGTACAGGCAGGAAAGGAGTTTAGTTGACCACATAAATTTACAATACATTTTCCTTGCCTTACTGAGGTCAGAAAATTTGATATAGGTATGTTGTAATTAGGCTACTGACTAGACTTAGGTAACTGTTTTATCCTGATTGAATTTCAAATGGGCTGATATAGAAACCATCTTCAACAAAGCAGTACAGAGTACATGTGAAGCTAGAGATCATGTACTACTACACTGATAACCAAGGGATAAAGATAACTTAATGAAGATTTTACATTCTATCAGAAGATACAATCTGATCAGACATGTATTAGACAAGAGAATTGCCGGTACCTCTTCTGGGGATTTCTATTTTCTCTTTGCTCTTCCCTGTAAAAAGACTTTAAAGATTAATGTGCACGCTAGCTTCACAAACACATCCTAGACCTGCAACTTGTATACAGATCTTGGAAGAATTATTAAAAATTCTGCAATTCATGGCAAAACCCAAAACCTACTAAAACTTAAACTATAGTTTTAGCAAGTTTCAGGTTTGGATGATTTTTCTCATTTTCTTTATAAAGGAGGGGAGCTGAACTACTACAAGCTAGTCTTATCCCTAAACTACTTGAATCCTTACCAATTAATAGATTGCATGTACATAGTAAACAGGCTTATAATATTTGTTTACTAGTGAAATATAGTCAGTAAAAAAGAAGCAAGGTTTGTCTTTAAGAGATTTGACTAAAAATGTCACTTCAGTCACTCTCCTGAATTATTCACAACTTCTAAATGAGAAAGCCAATTATTTGTCCGGTCCTTTTAGCTCTTCTTAGAATCAGCAAAATAGCTGTTACATTTCTAGGACAATAGCACATCTTGGGATTCTTTAAGCTTTTCATCTTTTCCCTGGCAGGATCACTACTGAAAACTGAACCCTCAAAATTCCTCATCAAGAAAAAAATTTAATGGTAATGAGAGAAATATGAAGGTTTCTCAATCTAATTTTGATTTACTAGCAGTTTTTCCCTTTAGAATAGACTGGTTCCACCTGTAAGCAAAGGCAACATCTAAGCTGGACCAGTGACATCAGCAAGGGATAAAAGTGCAAATATGTTGAGCAGTCTGAATACGACTGTTTTGGAAAGGGGAGAAAAAGGAAAATTAAAAATAAAAAGAAGAAAAAAAGCCTTCAAAATGGTGTCAAACGAGTATCAAAACATTTTTCCTTAGGTGACCAAAACTAACTTGACTTTGTGAATCCTTCTTAACCAAGCAATCCTACAGGAAGGAAGTACTAAACACAATTAATTCAATACATTAAGAGAGTTACAGCTTAAAAAACAATCAATCCTCCAGATATTTCTCTCACTTTTTAGTGTTTATGTAATGGGTTACAGAAGTCATTATCCTTCCAGCTTAGGAGCTGACAGACAGATATTAAACCAAAATGATTTATTGATTTGAGACCACACCTGCAAAAACAAAACTCCTAAAAATGAGTGCAGAAACCAAAGCACTATATACCTGATTCCCATACAAATACTTCAACAAATAATTCAAATTTTCTAATCCTACTTGAAGTCAAAAATTAGTACGTTTATAGCAAACAGTATCGTGTCAAATTCTAATATGCAAAAATAATTGTCAGAAAGCTTTTTCCCCCTCACCTAGAAAGGGTCTCTGAACGCCAAATCTTAAAAAATGCAGATAAATATCTAATCTGAGCATTAAAAATCTTAACTTTATATCAAATAATCCTAGTTACACTAAATCAGCAAAATAAAAGCTTGTAAGTTACAGAAGAAACTAAATTTATAAGGAATGTTGAGTTAAACACAAAACCATCTGAAATACAGCAAAGAAGCAAACTTTTGATAATGCTATTTCGAGTTCTTTTGACAAAAACTAGATATGATTTGAGCTTTTCCATTTGGACAATTTTGCACTTTTACATATAAAAATAGCCAAATACATATTTTGCTCATTATCCTTCATAACCTAAAAAGGTCTAAGCAGCTTAATATCCAGAAAGTTAGCAACTCAAAGGTAGAAAACAGCTACATGCTCAGAATTATGAGGACAATAAAGCTATGGTATCATCTTTGCTAAGTTGTTTTAAATACTGTACTGTTTTCTAATTTGTATTTCTACTTAGTCAAAGTCTGTCCAATTATCACGATTACAGATTCTAATCTCTTCAAATTGCTACATGCATTACCATTCAAGATGACACTGAAAGCAGAAAACCACCACTTCCAAAATACGCAAGTAACAGTTCACAAGGTATTTAACGGCATTATCTTCATCCACAGCTTACATCTTTGCCTTATACACAAGTTTTCCTTTTATTAGGGAAGTCTTAATAAATGATGACCATGTTATTAGTCAAAAAAAACAGCCAGCAGAAGGACTAGTACTTGGTGAATTCCATCACAAGAAGGAAGGGGAATAGAAAGATAAAGCAGCATTCCATCTTCTAGGCATAGTACTTTATTTCATGGAGTCTTAAAAAATGTTTGTCATCTGCATTGCTTTGAGTGCACCTTTGATAATATTTTGGGGTGTGACTTGGGGTAGACTGTCATGCTAACCAGACTTCTATTTTTATCCCATAAAGAAAATATTCAGTTGGACAAACACCTGCATTCCTTTGGGATGCTCCTAAAGTGTGAAGTTGGACTCTAAAACATTTCAAGTACAACGTAACTGAAGAAAATTAGTTCTCCCCAAATTGAAAGTCCATTAGACAAAATGCTTTGTGCACATGCTCCTCTTTGCACAACAAAGAAACAGACTTTTCTGTACCGGCAAGAGCTTCAGAGACTTGCATGTATCGATGCACCAATCAAAATTACTAGATTACAGTCCCTACCACATTAACTTAAGAGATTTTTCTCTTATTTCTCTCAAGTAAAACTGGATGTTACATCGTCCAGAGAAAAATGACAACATATCCACGAAGAGGATTACCATTACTACACAGTTATTGAACCACTGAGTTGGTATTAGCTTTGTGTTGGAAAACTGAGAAAAGTATGTTATACTGATAAAGAAGTTAAATCAATGTGGTCATGACAGTGATATCCATTGCAACATCGCTCCTTTAAAATTCCCTTCAGTTTTCCTTTGGTTATTCTGTACCTCTAACCTCAATCCCCATCTCAATTCCCTATGTAATACCTCTGTAGAATGAAATAAAGGCATTTTCTCCCTGCAGTATTTTGAGGAACGAGGGAAGTGAAGCAATGAGAAATTGAGAACTGCATGCACATCTCCAATAGACATGCATCATGCATAGGGCAAAAAAAACCAAGAGTGACAATGCGTGAGGAGGAGATGGGAAGAAATCTGAAGTTGTACTGTACCACGCTTTATCACAGAAGTAATGGACTAACTTCTCAACTCCTTGCCAATGGCATAATGGGAAAGCAGAGACAAGAAAGAGACAAGGACAATGATGTCAGAGGACCAAGACAAAACAATGAGCAATTGCCATGACAGAACTGCAACTTTTCACCATTTAAATTGCAATTACCATGTCCCCCATTGGTTTTTAATCCACCTTCCAGAAACAAAGGTAGCAACAGTGTTTAAGTAATGCAGTACAAATAATATCTATAGTAAGACCTGCACGGAATACCTGTGCTCTTATAACTTGAAATCTTTTAACACAGTTAATCTCTTACACTTCAAATACTGTTTAGAGCTGTAACTAGAATTAGCATGTATGATTACAACTGTATACATCAAGAACATTTGTATCCATGCACATACGTGTTAGATATCTAACAATGAACAACAGTGTCATAAGATACACTGTACTACATATTTTGACCATGTTGCCCATACTGTTTGATAACCCATCTTCCTAGCAACTTGCTCATGAGCTTGAAGAGTCTCCAAACCACCAGAGTTTGGGTTTTTTTTTTTTTGGAGGGAGTGAGGCGGGGAAGGGACACAAACCCTGTTTTTCATTTTCTGATCAGTTCTGACATCCCTATCTCGCTGCGTTGGCACAGGATAAGCTGTCACGTCACAGGCCTTCATTTGAAGATGCAGCCTTACTGAAAGGCTACTCTGGAAAGCTCTCATTTTCTACCTCTGGAAAACATCAAGATCTCACACCTTAAGTCTGTAGCATTTACCAATACCTTCATTTTAGATTTTTTTTTTTCTTTCTCCCTTTTAGCTAGCTATATTATACCCATATTTCAACATTGTAAAATAGGATTCACAGCATGAAGTATGACTTTAAATAATGATACAAAACAACCCTTTTTTTTTTTCTTAAATCACCATTCACCACAGCATGGGGGTAGTAAAATAATTAGTAATATGGCATAGCATTATTTTTTGTCTGCATAGTCTGTATAAACACCCGAACTTAAAGCAAAATACTGTCTTTCTCAAAGAAAAATTACTGAAAGTAATATATAACTACATCAAGGCAGGCATTTCATCCATTTCATCCATAAATACAGATATATGTGCAACAAACAGACAAATATGACCATATGTAAAATTAAGTTTTGTTTGCAAATATATACTTAGTTAGGTACAAGAGACATTTATCTTGTAGTCGAATCTGCAGTTGCCCAACTTGGGAGAAGGGAGTTTTTCTTAAACGACATTTCTTCATATAGCTGAACACTCATCTCAGAGCAAAAATACATACATATAAAGGACAGTAAAGTAATGATTCCAGGACATTTTTAATAATTTATTACTCTCTTAACGTGAGTCATAGAACTTCCAAGATAATATTCTGAAGCAACGTTGTTCTGCTAACACCAACAATTTGTACACCCTACAAAGAACTTGAATCAGCCAATAAAGGTTTGGAAACGTTTCATAGCGTTAAGCAACGCACCCCTGTTTTAAAAAGAAAAAAATAAAAGCATGAAAAACCAAAGCCTGGACCTGACTTATAGTCAATGTGCATACAGCAGCTGTCTTGCTGGTGATAAAAAGCTATGTGTCACCTGCTAGAATTGCCTACATTACCTTTATTTGTAATGCTTACATACAAAAAGTCTAAATACTTTTTCCACGAAGTGCACAGTAAGCAGAGATGTGAACAACTGCAATGCTTGAGTAACAAAACAGTTTTCACCTGCATTTCTGTGTGGAGAAGCACTTGGGGCTAGAGGCCTAGAGAAAGTGGTATAATATTCTTGTATTACAACAAGAGTTCATAATTGGTTCACTGACAATGTGTATTCTAAATACTGTGTTTCTAGAGCTGCACCATTAAAGCTCCAGAATACAAATGCAAAAGTTTTAAGTTGTATTGAAGAAAGTTTGCTATGTCATCAAATTATATCCTATAACCAAGAGAAAAATAAAGGACCATTACATAAGAGTTGAGTTCAAGACACATATGGGAGTTATAGGAATAAATCATACAATTTTTTTCATAAAATGACAAAAATTAATGTACTATTATGAAAGTGTTTATGAAATACAAAATGCTGAATTGTTTCTAAGGCTGTTGAAACAACATGAAGTTAATAAATGTTAAAGTATTAAAAATTAATTCTCACTCAAAGTGCAAAACATACACCCAATTCTAAAGCATGTTAACAAAGTGCAGTGATACGGTAAGTTCATAGGGCAAGTTAAGCGGTAGGTATGCTAACATTGTAACTGGTGCTAATAGAGAGTAACTGTAAGCATATGATAGTACTGTAACATTACCTAGCAGGGATATATTACCTATCCTGTACAACAGCAGTAAAATTGTATTACAGTACATAAACAACTAAATATGAATAGTTAACAGATTTATACTCTCATAATCTACAGTGCTTGTAAGTGATCTATGTACTCATCAGCTATCGACAACATAGTGAAGAAACCTGCAGTATTCACAAGTGCAGATGGTATTTTAAGTTCGGGATCCAGAAGTTAAGAGAAGAAATGCTTGAATTCCAAGATCTCCAGACAGAAAACACAGACAAACAAAAACTGAGACTACTTCATGTTCCTACCACCTTCTCTATGTAACTGCAAGAGAACACTAACATTGACTTCAAGGCTGTTTTCCTATTCTCGGTGGTGATACCCAGCTCTCCACTTGCCTCGAAACCCCACATTTGGCATTCTGTACTAGCTCAAAAACCAGTAGACCTAAAACCACTGAACCAAGGGAAGAGGTAATGTGGGGAAAGAAGGATGCTAATGATAATTCCAGTAATGTTCTACTTTATGTGACTCTTCACACAGTGATAAATCATTGATTTTGCAAGAGTGTCAGTAAAAACGTCCAAGAAACCTCCTAGTTTATACTGTATTTTATTTCTCAGTATTTATCTTCTGCTCAAACTTAAGACTTATAAGAAAAAGGCTAGGAACACTCGGTTATAGGAAACATTTCTTTTCCTAAGCAATAGGTTAATTATAGTTTACGTTGATTAGTCAATGGCCAGTTTTCATCTACTTTATTTCCTTTACTAGTAATTCATAGAATTTAATGTATAAGATGTATACTAAAATATCCAACCTGTTTTAGTAATCAAAGTTTGCTATGGAATCCTTGAAAAAGAAGCTGCTGCTATTACTGCAGGAATGAGGTGGGGGCTCAGAGAACTGGTAAGAGATTAGCAAAGTCTTCTTCTCCAGTTAAGCAGTCAATGTGAATGATGTGACACCAGTGGCACACATCTGGCAGCTCAGACACCATCCTCCCATTTTGACTCTCCGATCAGTAAGCCCCAAAACCGTGACATTTATGGCTCCTCAGGTCTAAAACTGATCTTTTTAAACTCAGACTGCTGACAAGACATGAAAATAGCCAGGCTGTGCTGCTGCTGGCCCTCTATCCAGAAACAGAAGACGCGATGATCAGCTTTAGCGGTTCTACATTCGTTATATACACACACACACCAAACACCACAGGAAAATGAAGCACATCTCTCCACCGCATAGAGAAAAGCCTATGAAACAGGCTGATGAGTTGTTTAAATGAACATTGTCACAGAAACGTCAAGAGAGTATTTGAAACACAATTTACAAAATACTTTACAAGATTGTTTTTTCCTTGTAATTGATGTAAGTTAGGATCATTGCAATCTGAAATATATGTAAGTATAGTTTTTAAGGTGCAGCTTATGCTTCAGATCTCCCTTGGCCCTGGAAATCTTAATTTGTTTCCGTAATTTTACTTTTTCTTTTATTTCTTGTCCAAATACACTCTTGGGCTTTGCTAGGCAGTCAAACACACTGTAATTCTCAAATTACAGTACATTTTAAAAATATAACTTTAGCTTTATGAACTAGTTATATTTCTTTGAACAATTATCTGTTTATAATGCAATACCAAAGCACAAAATAAGACTTACCATTTCTCTAAGTCTACGTAAGCATACAGTTTTAAAATCAGCAATTGTCTTTTGTTTTGCAGATCCAAGCCAAGAGAACAAATGCATCTTATATCAGCCCACATTGTAGCTAGCACATAAGGAATGTTAATAAATCATGCAAGTTTTGCAACAGCCACTTCAATGTATCAGAAGCCTTTTTACAACAAATACCGGGGGGGAGGGGGGGGCGGGAATTAGTTTCAGGGAAGCCATTCTGAAGAGTTAAGAAAACTTCTCGTAAGAGGCAATGAAAACAACACTTTCTCACCAATGTTTTTATGTACATCCACAACGTATTTACGTAAATAACCCACATATGCATGCATGCAGACTTATGAGCAAACAGAACACATACACAAACAGGATAGTATATTACAGCCATGAAAAAGAAAGGGAAAATGCAGCAAGCAAGATTTATGTTAAGACAAGACTGGAAACAAGGGCCTACTCAGGTTTGCCTGAAGAACTGCTGAAGTAAATCAGCGTTTAATAGCTGTTATAAAGCTATAAGTTGTAGCTGCTTATACACTGGCTGAAGGAAGCATTTTAGTTAGCCACAGACTATTGTGTATGCCTGTAAATCTGCCTGAGGAAGGAGGATACTATGAGATGAACAGTGCGTGCAAAGGGGAAGCTTCTACTGGAACACGGTGAGGGAGATGAGTGAGAGGTACAGACTCACTCTGTCTGCGGTGCGGTGGAACAGTCCGAGGGATGCCCTGGAATGAGCCCTGCCAGGGAGAGAAGGAGGGAGCAGAATACCCACCCTGTGCAGAAAGAGAGAGGGGGAGAAGTATAATAAAAAAGAGAACAGGGAAAAACAAGACACCAAAAAGCCACACCATTCTTTTTCCTTTTCCCCCAGAAAGGTATCATTATATTTCCCAGTTGTTCTACTTTGTAAAAGCAAACGCTACACACTACTAAAGCCCAGAGGAAAAACAACATTACGATGCCCTAAACTAGTCAGAAATCTTACAAAATACCTCCATTTTTGTTCAGTATATATGCACACATTTCTGTTAAAGATGTTTTTAAGGGAAAAGTATAGGAGCTGAGCTTTTTATGTTAAAAATACACGCTAAAAATTGTATCTTTACAGCTTTCAAAAATGTTTTAAAAATGCCTCACCAAGCAGTAAGTTTCTTAATACTAATCTACTGGAAAACCAGTCAGCTTTAGTTTACAACAAAAGATTTCTAATGTATAGAAACAGATTTTCTAGCAAATCCTGGTGCTTTAGAGTCCACTTCACTCATATTTTAATAGTATTACTAAACGTGAAAGAGGAGAGGTGACATGTAACTGTTTTCCTTGCACTTTGCTCTTGGAGCTTGAGCCTTCCAGTACACTATCAGAGAACTGTGCACATCAATGCCACGCAGGGTTTGCCTGTCAGATGTTTCAGATCACCACAGAAGCGACACATTGTGGTTGCTGCATTCTCAAAACAAGAAAGTAATTTTATGCAGTCTATCATTTTCTCCATACCCTTACCTTCAAAAGAAATCTATCCAAGCTGGAACTGCCCTCTTAAATCACATAACCTTGACTTCCTATTTCAGGAAGACAGGTTTAAGTCTTTACAACCCCTTCACCGTTTAGCAGCTGAAAACTTCTGCTTTTATGAGTTTGGAATTAGTGCTAATAGTAATGTCTGCCTTTGCCTCCTGGCTATCCGTACCCAGTAGACAGCAACAGCAACCAGTTGCAGCTACTCTTTCAGACAGCAGGCATAAGATATCTGAACGTACATCTATATCAAAGAACACAGGAACACAGTTGCCCCTCCTCTCTAGTTTCTCTGCTGGCATATCTGCTGCAGATCATACTGCCAGGGATGGACAAACAATAAAGAAGTATTTTATTTCCATGCTTCTTTTAAAACAATGTTAAGCATCACATTATTTCTATAAAGAAATATTTTGCTTTTATTTATCCTAGCAGAATTTTAAACCCTTCCCTGACCTTCTAGTTATCCTAATCTAGTTAGATTTTATCCACCACTATTCCAAGTTTCAGTACTGCTAAGATGTAACTTAATAACACATGCATTTAGTCAAGTCTTAGAATTTGCCAGCCAGAACATTTTTAAACTAGAACAGGAAATAAAGAAAAAAATTCTTCTGAATAAAAAATTATTGGAGCAAAATCCAAGGAAAAATGAAAGTTCTTTAATCTGATTATGTCTAGATGGAGATATTGATTACCTAACATGTTCTTACAGTCCTCCATCAGTAGCCATTAATGTCAACACAATTTGCAGACTGCTGCATGAAAGAACAACAGTACTAGCTTCAGTCAAGCAATATGACAAAATAATATAATACGTTGCATCATCTGAATAGGTATTAAATACAGAAATATTCCTGGGAACAAGATCAATCAATCAATGATTGATAACACATTAACAAAAGCTTTGTATTTTCACAGCGCTGTACCAAAGAACACTTCATTTTTCAGGCTTGTTCAAATTTCATCCTAAATTGTGTCAGGGTGGTGGAACAACAACAACAAAAAATTCTTTCCATTTTCTAAACGTAACTGAATCTCCAGATAGTAAAAAAGCACAGTATCATCAGGCATAGGTCTCATCTTGTAGAGACTTGTTTGAGTTGGCAATGAGCTTTTTCCAGACTTCTCTGAAATTTTTAATGCATCACGTTAAGAAGGGAGGTGAAAATTTTATATACTCTCCCTTCCTCTCTCTAAAAAGAGAGATTAAGACAAGTACAAGCCAGCTGAGCTACATAACAGTTATGATACTACTGTAAAGGCAAAGAAATATTTAGATGTCTTGATACATTTCAGTAAATCTATATTAGCACTTCAAAGCACAGCACTAAGTACAGTCTTCTCAATAATTCTTCATGGTATTTAATCATTACTCTGACTGGGCAAGTAAATGAAGAAAGTGCAAGTAACTTCCTTCAGTGTTTTGCCTGCTAAACTGAACTGTTCTCCAAGCACGGTTCAGCCCCCTTCTCCCAAATGCTGGAGAACATTCTATAAACTGAGAAGCAGAAGAACTAGGTCTTCCTCTGGCTGCAGTCTTGAGAGTTTACACTGCTCCACACAGGCAAATGTCAACTAAGTGTCGGATTTCTTATTTATAAAAAAAATCATAACAAGCATTGTTTAATTGTACATCAAATAAGGTAATTAAAATTAACATCAATTGAATCAAGTAAGGAACAGGAAATACAGCACTGGGAATTTATTAAGATGGGTATTATGAATTACACTGATTTTACAAATGATAGAGGTTGTACCGATTCCGTAGATACAGCACATTAAGAGATAAGTATCTGCAAATAAGCCTGGCTTATGAAAAGATTACTTTTAATAGTATTTTACAAAACTCCAGCAAATTTCAAAGCTTTCTCGTTTAAACAACAGCTCACATCCATCCCCTTCTATTAGTCAAACGTGCGCTGAGGTTCCCAAGAAATCCAAAGAACAGGAAAAAAGAAACACACACTAATAAGCATGTCTCTTCAGATTATGGTACATATTCAAAATACATAGAAAATGGGGCAGTTCCCCACTAAATATAGGGAAGAAGAAAAACCTGAATCACAATTTATTTTATGCTTGATTATTAAAAAGTCTATAAAACCTCATAAGCAAGCAATGCTAGAATTTAAAGATGAGAACATGACTTACCTCAGCTTCTATTAAAAAAAAAAAATCTTCTGGGTTCTGAAGCCTAGTCTGATGCAAGTCTTTCCACTTGTACTTCAATGTTAGACAACAGTCAGAACACTTCCTCCCCCCAGCTGTTATGTGCATCCAGCCACTAAACTTAAATCCCATTCCTCTCATTTCCCAGATACTGGTATTGTGAAATAGCAAAAGCATCCCAAAAGAGAAGTGATTCAAAATTTTAAACACCAGGCAACACAGGAGACTCAGGAGTGGAAAAATAAGAGCAGCTGAAATAAAGCAGCCTACAAACCAGAACAAAGTGATGAATGTTCTTCAGAGATCCTGATGAATTGTACAATTGCTGCTAAAGGCTTTCTGAAGTTCTGACCCTTACTGCACTGGAAAACCTGTTGTGTTTTTTTAAAAAGGCTACTATGAGGATATTAAGGCCAGAGTTTTCCATTACTATGAAAGGACCTCAACTTTAGAATAAGCAATCACAGGAACAAAAGCAATTGCTTCTGCCAGGAAAGGACAGGAGAAATATTTCTAAGCTATTGCTGCATAGTAATTTTAGGCCAACAACCAAATATTCCAGCTCTTTTCCCAAGGATACACCAATATCCAAAACTGCTAGCGCTTTAAAAAGTCTTTTCTGCTGCAGAAACATGAATACAGGAAAGATCCATTTTTAGCCATACAGCTGGAGCCTTTGAGCACTTCCAAGAAAAGATGATTTTTGCTGCATCTCACCTAGCATTGCTTGTTGTCTCATACAAACTTAGAGCTCCACATCATGAACAAGCCTAGAATGACATACTTCAAGTATCAATGCAAACAAAATATTTTCGCAGCAGTATCCTCTTGCTAACCTGGAAGTTTAAATTCATAGTTGCAGAGTCAAAGCATATAGAAACTTTAAGGCTAAGGTGGAAGGAGATACTCAAAGACAACAGTACACAAAGACAGCCGAAGTATTATGAAGGTTCACCAAAACAATTGATGTGAAAGGCTTTGGAATGACAAACTGGAACAATACACAAATGGAAGGCAAAGAATATATCTCAGCGCAGAAGTAGAGGAGAGATGTAGCAAAGAACAAGAATATGCATGCTCCCAGGCAAACTGGATTCTTTGCTGTCAGTTTACCAGAGACAAGAATGAATTTGTACAGACATTTGGGAAGCAAAAGTTATTCTCATCACTGTGTACTATTTCAAGACCAAGGAGAAAAATCAGATTTTACTGTACACTATCTACTGTTGCAGGGCATGGAAGAGCACCCATGAACTAGGAGGAGTTGTGTTACGCTAAGGAACTGGACCTCAGGGGCCAGAATCCTTTACAGACATCTTCATCCATATTCAGGCTTTGTAGTTTGCTTGCTTGTCTTTTACTTCTCAGCATCTGCAAACAGCCTTTCCAGTTTGAGAAGTCAAATAATTTGTCAACATAAACTTGATATCTAACCCCTTTACCCTCAAAAGCTTTAAAAAAAAAGTCAGTATTTAGTGTTACAGAAACAATGCTTGCAAAGCCTGCGAGACAATTGTGGCAATGGATGCTTGCATTTTTCTTCTTTGTAAGCTTTGTCCATCAACATTAATTTCTTCACGTAACTTTACGTTCAATACCTTCTTCCAGGTTTTGAGGTTTTTTTCCCCATGATAGTTAAAGATAGGCATAAATCAACTGGAAGTGAATTCAGTGTAAGAGATCTATGAGAAATCCTTCTATATCATGGTCCACCCTGTCAGTGAACGCTTGTACAAGCCTTTATCCCAAGGATAGCTAACCAAAAATAATGTTTCCCTCTAAGTTACCATTGTCTATACAAATAATCAGAAATTACATAATGTAGTTTTGAGCATACCGTAAGCAGTATCCTGAGAAGAAACACCATGTGGCAGACACAATGGCTAGGCAATAGGTTAATTCTTAACATGCCCAATTTTCAAAACATTTATTTTCAGCCACTAGGTTTTATTGCATGGAGTACTAAGTTCCAAGGATTAACCTAAAGTTACATAGCTTCCATTTATGCATTTACCTTTTAACAGGAAAAAAACCCTAAAAGTACTTTCAAAAAACTATGTGGTCCCTAAAGAAAATAACCCCAGACAAGTTTACAATCACAACAGGATCGGCCATTTTCTGGAAATATCTGGTAATAAAGAAAGAACATGACTTTCTAAAAAGAATATGTTTAATGATATTTTCTTGCCTATTTACTGGGAGAACGATGAAGTGATGAGAAATACTAGCTATTTCAAATGGACAGTAGAACTGCAATAAATTACTGCAATCCATATCGTCTTACGTTCCTAACCAAAATCCTTCAATAGCTGATTTCCACTCTCACTATATCCTAGTTTTTTCTAGCACCTATTCTTTATGAAACACTATAATAACAATGTTTGTTAAGCACACTTCTGGAAGCATTTAAAGTATCTCTTGAAACAGTAAATTACTGTATGTTCCTAGACTGTTATTTATGCTTCGGGAGTCAACACATCATATCAGTTCTGTTAGAATTTGTAAACTGTCAGAACAATCTTGAAAGTTATGATAATCTAACTGAAGTAACTTCCTGATATCATTTAAAGTGACCAACAGGTCAACACTTAGAGGAAAAAATGAAATAGTTAAATATTCATCAACTTTGTTAACTATTAACAAGCTTAAGCAAAAAAACTTATATGCCTCAAAGGAGTTGTACTCTCATTGCCAAGATTTCAATTATAATTTAGTTTTTAAAAAATGTAGTCTATATAAAAACGTCATCATTTCATAAACATTAACTACATTTCATGATTCATACCATGTTTAGGACCAATAAATTTGATTTGTCCCAGCCTGCGCTCTCAGTTCAAGACCATTGTATTAAACTGAACAGGAATGTTAATAAAGCAAAACAATTATTTTCTTTAAGACTTTTTTTTTTTTGAGTAAGAATATGTTTTACTCGGACGTCTCCTGCTATTGCCATTTATCATACTCCTGCCCCAAGAAAATATAGCCAATTGTCTCCCCTTTCTATTGCAAGTGACATTTTATGTCATTGGGTTCCAGCTCAACAATGATTTCATGCCAAGGCTTTTTCTACATTTATACTTCTCTTAAGCCATGCAAGGAAGCATACAAATGCATGTTAGCAGAGGAACTGTTAAACCAGAAAGTTGAGATCTAATCATTAGAACTGGAACTTGGCTACAACAGCAAAGATTATCGTCCCCCTTTAAGAAATCCCACATTAAGGAGCTCATATCAATTTCTGTTTGCTTACAGAAAGCCTCCATATAACTTAGAAATATGCAAAGGAGAAGACATTCAAAAAACCATTCTGTGCAAAAATTTTCAGCTATCGTTTACAAATAAAAGTTCCCAAAAAGCAGTGTGTTTTGAAAATCTGTCAATACTTCATGAATTTTCCTAATTCCTTTATCATTTTCACGAGAAACTTTACATGTAAAGACAAAAATACTGAGACGTTTATAATGCGCATCTAATAAGCATATGCCTACACACACATGTATGTATATCATCTACATATGTATATGCATACATATATCCACACACATACATACACCCAACCATGAATACAGCAGAGGTCCTTTTTTTTTTTTTAAAAAAAAAGATATTCTCCCTTAACTTGAATTTCCTCATGACAAAAAAAAAAGTGTCTTTTTGAACAAAACTACTGAAGAACTTAGAAGAAATATTAGAAGAAGTATACTACAACCTGACCAAAACAGACAATTGGGCTAAATACCACAGGTTGCTCAAACTAAAGCTTCTGTAGTTAGCAACTAACTTTCAATAGTTACTAATCTGTTTCCGAATTTATGTGGAAAATGGTAGGGAAAAAAGGAACACAGAAACAACAATAGCCATTAACCAAGTAATAGTATCAACACAGAAAAACATCAAATGAACATCACAGATAGGAAATTAAAGCTTGGGAAACAGAAACAATACAAAAGCTCAAAAGCTACAAAGTAACAGGAAAAGAGAAACAAACGGGATAAACATGAAGGACACTTTCTGCAACAGAGGCATTGGAGCAAACTAAAAGCTACTTAAGGTTATGATCTCTTTACATTGGGTTCTTATCAGACAGAAGACGGTTGGAAAGCATGGTCTCAACAGGATAAAGCTGTTTGCTAGCAACTGGTGAACATACAGCGTGGTGGTATTTCTATCCTAGCACTATATATTTGAAAGAGTAATTTTAGAAGGATAGCAGGGGTGATTTATCTTTACTACAATCCTACATCAACTAACTCAAGGCTGGGTAAAAACAAAGAAACAAAAAAATCTAACCCATTTTTAATCTTTTAAAGAAATCTCTTAGGATTCTCTAGCTAGACCAGTAGCTTCAAGATCCAAAGACTATTTGCTGATGACTCACAAAAGTCTTGTTCACCATTCAAACGTAATTCCTTATTATTATATAGTATCAAATGTGTTGTCCCTCCCTCATCTTAAGTATTGTATTAGTGTTCCATGAGGAATGTAAGTTTTATATAATGGAAGCAAATATGATCCATGCAACAACATATGGGAATGAAGATGTCCTTTGTCAAAGTGATTTTCACCCAATAATTTTTTGAATGAGTCAAGTTCTTCAAATAAATTATTCATAAAAAAAGATTAACTTTTGTTTTTACACTTATGGACTGAAACTTGGAATACACTGTTGCTTTTCCTCAATAAATGTGAGCACAGCAAGAATGAAACTTTAAGGAAAAAAAACAAATACAGATACCTGTGACTTTAAAGTCAGGATATAGGAAAATATCTTACATATGATTAGATATACAGCTTGGGCTGACTGTAACTTAGATAGTGCAGAAGGTGACTATTTTAAGAACAGACTTCTGAAGTTTATTTACTTATTTTAAAAGAAGTGTTTGTAATAAATGTTTAAATAAAAGGGTTGCAAAGAACGCAAGGGATGCACAGCAGGAAGGATACCACTCTCACATATAGCACAGAATCTCTTACACAATGCCAACTTGTATGGCAGCAAATGCCATAGAATTGGGGAACGAAATGCAGAAAGTCATACCCGAGAAGGAATGGCACGTTTTACTCACAGAACTCCTCCTCCAGGAGGTTTGCGTAAATTTATCAGCATAAGCGCACATTGCCCCTGTAGGTTTTTGACCGTCTTTCTGGCAGTTACATCTAGTGGCCTTAATCACCCCCAAAAAGAGAAGAGAAAGGAGAATTTGTTAGAAAATAACTAAGACACTTGAAAAGCACAGTCAAGGCCCAGTGTTCAAACATCATGCATTACTTGGCAGTATAGCACAATAAGATTAAACTGTAGGAACTAGTATTTACAGTGCTGCACAACTGCTTATTTTCCCAAAGCATATTTAGAAATAATTTAGAATAAATGTTGACTTTTGGAAAGGGTTTTTGATTCACTTAAATTTCTGAAGCACCACATTCTTTAAGTCACCTTTCAATAATTACGAATATAAGTTTTACCCATCTTTACAGCAGAGTTCCTTAGCTGCAACAAAGGTTTCAGTTACTACAGTAATTAGTTATATGGTCTACCAGGAAGGAGAGATTTCCTTGAAGAAATCTTTGAAGGCTGATGGCAACAGTGAGACTAAGTGTACTGAAAAAAATCAACACTCAATGCAAAATACTAATAGACAAGACAATTTGTTTTGGTATCCTGTGATCTGGAATTCTGTTGTTTAAGCAGAGAAGAAAGCCAAATCTTAACCCTCTTTTTGTTTTAATGGGAATGATCACATACTAGACAGGGAGAAGATGAAGACTACAGGTCAGTTTCAGTGCACATATGTATAAAAGCACATGCTAAACATTTCATTAGAGATTATAGTCACACAAGACTGTCTCCAGCCATGATAAATAAATATGATGTGTACCTCTTGGCATCTCATCTACCCTACTTTTAAGATCTTGCTGTGGTTTGAAATGGCTTGAAAATGTGGGGCTATTTTACAAGAATTGTCACAGCAGGTGACTTTACCAGAAACAAATGCAAAGATACACATGGCAAAATCCAAAGTTAACTTAGAACAAAAGCAAAAAGCGAAAAGGCATACGTTACTTTTGCCTGAGGACTTGTGTGTCTGCCTGAACCTGATTTATGATAAAAGTGTCCCCATAACTTCTATTTATTTGGCCAATTTAATTTTACTATTTATCATGCTTTGTTTTGTTTAAAAAAGAATCGCTTCGAATATTACCTTGCTCAGCTTTAAATTCTATGGTGGAATTCTTTATTAAACTAATGGACAGTAGGGGAAAGGAGAAGGAGAAAAAACCAACAAAAACCTTCAAGCAGAATGGTAAGGCCTGACACTTGTTAATTTTTAAAATATTTCAAGCATAAAGTGCCTTATCTTTGCTCATTGTTATTTCTGAACAGCTTCTAGAATTTTATGTTCAAAGTATTTGTTTTGGAAATAAGATATATTTAACAATCGTATAAACATCCTTGCTTAGTGCCACACATACAAATCATGACTCGCCTACAGAATTAAAGATCCCAGGCGTACAGTTGCAAACACACTAAAACATGTAGAATCGGTCTGCTAACTGAACCATTACAGACCTATGAGTCAGGTGGGTCTAAACAGAACCCAAATCCACCTTTGTTATAACGAAAGAGCAGGAAAAAAATTAGACGCCTAGCCCTCTTAAAGCCTTCCTAAGAATTACCTATTGAAGTTACACTCTGCAGTGCATACTTCAGATATTGTTAAACATTTAGCATTACACTTACAAGTTGATGCTCTAATTGGTTGATCATTTCATCTTTTTTCTTCAGTTCATCTTTAAGCTGCCTGATCTCATTCAGCAGGTCATCCATCTGCAATAGAACAGTGGCAAATACAAGTTTTTCTCTAAGGGCTACACAATCTAAATCAACACCTCTACAGGACATATTGTATCAGATGTTCATGGAGAACTGCCAGTAACATTAGCACATGCTTTCCTCCTCTTATTCGCGTGGTGACATAGGCTGTAGGCATACAACCTAAAGAGTGAAGAAACTTGACTAGAAGTCTCTTTAAAAGACAGAGTTGAGCCAACCCACTAAATTCGCAGGCTATATAAGTAAATCAGCTGCATTTTTGATGCAGCAATTCATCTGTTGTACAAGCAACTAGCATCATGGAAATGAACATCCCTAGCCATCAAATACTACCCATACTTCTCTTTATACAACAACAAAAACCACTGAAGCTTAAAGGTTAAGTGAACTTATTATTAACATAAAATGATAGAAACAAGGAAAAAAAAATCATTTAGAAAGTAAGCATAACTATGTTTACTGAATGCAAACAACACAACTGATTTGAATACATCCTACTAAAAACTAAAGGCTTAAAATAATTATGCAAAGTTCAGAGACTAAAAAAATTGGTAAATACACAGGAATGAATTTTTTTAAAATAATTTTTCATCACAAGGTAATTTTAATGTATTTTATAACTGTGCCATTATAGCTAGGCCATAAATTAAGGGGCAGACTTCCATTTAGTAGCATACATCTACTATTTCAGTTTCACTGAAGATGTTATTAGTTACTGCTTTAGGACAACACCCAGACTGATTTGTTGTGCAATTTTTCAAACCACATGACAGTATCAGGTGAAGAAGTGACAATTCAAAATGCCAGTTAAACCTACCATTTTTTTTTGTTATGAAGTTAAAAAGCAATACTTTTTCCTCTAGGAATTAAGACTAAGATTTTGAGGGAGGTGATTGTAGAAGGATAAGCACAACAAATACATCAGACAGCAATTAAAGAAAAAAGAAAGCCTAAATGTTATCGATGTAGAAACCAGGGTTGCTAAAGAACGATGCATATGGATCTACAGCTTCGGCAAATCTCTTAAACCCTGAAACCAGGATTTGGACAGATGACCTTCAAACACAAATAAGATTGTAAGCGTTCTTCCCTTTAAAGAACTATTTCTAATTTCATGTATCTTCAGCAAGTATTGTTTCCCTACTCTAAGTGCAGATTTAGTGATCTTTCTGCATTGATTTTACAATAAGAGCCTCAAGCAATGCTATAAAACCTCAGCACTATAGAAAGCACATTACAAGTCTGTGACCATAAAGGATGACTCTTTTTGGAATACCCATTGTGATTGCTTCTTCCTTTAATACCCATTCTAAAACAATAAATACATCTTTGACTTTGTGGGGTTCACGTTGTTTTTAAGTTATGTCTGCAATACCCGCATTATCTCACAGAAAACTTACTTTAGATGAAAGAATTTTAAGCTGAAGTCATCAATAAATGTAATGAAAAAGCAAGTAATTGAATAAGTATGGTATGATTACGCTTCAAAGCAAAAATCGTTTTTTTCAAATTCTAACACTTATCAAGCAGGCAACAATTTTTTGAAAGGAGTTACTCTACAACTGTTAATTCCCACGACTGCTACAAATACCAAAAGGCAAAGTTATTTTAATTATTTAAACCGTGCTGGCATTTTTAAGTATGCATTTTAAAAGGTCAAATAAACCCTTCCATTTTAACACAACTGAAAAGATGAAGTTTGCTTCATCTAAACATTTGCTAGGTTTGTGTTTCAGTAGATGAAAGAAGCAAGAAGTACTACTTCACAGTGACACAGAAGTCTTTGTTTGTGTTTTTTTAAACACAAACAGGCTTGTCTCTCTTATTCTGTAGAGTAAATCAGTGTTATTTACCTTAAAAGTTGACTCAGGTTCTTGTGGTTCTGGACTTGATGGAACGGAGAGTGGGATGTCCTGGAGGGACACATTTTCATCATTCTATCAGAGAACAAAAAACAAGAACAAAAGCTCAAACTACTTGCTGAAACAACTCCCTTGCAAACTTGCTTTCAAGGATGGAGACTCATCACCTCTCTGCAGAACCTGTTATAATGTCTGACCTCTCTCACTCTGGATTTTTCTTTTTTTCCCCTGATAGGAAAGCCTTCCTTGCTGCAGCATGTGTACAGTGCCCAAATAAGGGCCATGAACAGCCTTCCCCTCTCCTCACAAAGCTGAAGGAACATCTGCAGCTACGTCAAAGTGTGTTGATTTTGCACAAAAATCTGGTAAAAACTGGCCATTGTGTTCAAATGCCTTATATCAGGAAGGAATGGTGATGCTATGAGATTTTAAAAGCTTCATTTCCTTCATTATCCATTCAAATAACATGTCTGAGCATTATCAAAATATAAAGCCAGAATATTTCAGCTAGAAATTCTTAACTAAAAAAGCAACATTTGCTACTGGGCAGACTAATACAACATTAATTCACAGCCATCTGAACTAAATACCAATTATAAAAACTGGAACCACACAAAAGTATTCTTTCCCCTGCCATGACAGCCATGAATTCTGAAATTAAGCACAGCAAGCAGAAACAGAAATAACCAAAGATGCCAAAAGATTTCCTTCAGGGTATGTCCTGAAGCACTCACACTCTCGTGACAAAAACACAGCAGCCATTATGTGCAGTACTCTAAACCTGTGGCGCTCAACCCTGAAATGGTTCAGTTAGGTTAGAGAGTCAAGTCACAGACTGAACAACTGTGTACTCTCGTGATGTGGTCTCAGGTTTGTACCGTGATGTTGTGTCCAACCTTAGTGTGACACAACTACAGTACAATTATTTTATGGTCATGGAAGATCATAATCCCCATTTCCTTGGTGTAAAAAGATTTATTTCCCCACCCTTTCTGTCCATTTCCTCCATCTGCTGCCTTCTCAAAGAAAAAAATAAATGAATTTTCTACCTTACAGTATTCTCCTTTGTTTTTTAGTGTTCTTAGAGGGGAGTTTCTTTACACAATGACCTCACTGCCTAAGATTGCATTGTAGAACCTAAGAGCAGCATGTCTAAAAACCGCTCTGAGGCTGACCCAGCAACTCCCCAAAACCACAAGGGTAAAACTGCAGCTCAAATGCTAAAGATCAATTAAGGGAAAAACCCACAACAGACCCACTTATGTTCTTTATGTCTGTGAGGTATCTTTTTTGCTTTTTAATCCGTAAGAAATATTTCTCACAAATTTTTAACTAAACTGCAGAGAAACATCAACAAGATTGTCCAGATGCAAAAAAGCAAAAAATTAAAATTGATGAACTTTTAACAATTAAATTTTTACTTTTTCCTATAGTCACCAATTATTTGCAGCCAAAATATGCACAACCGTCACCAGACGTAAAAGATAAAAATACTAAGAACTATCATACAATTCCAAATTGCTTTTACCATGCTACAGACAGTTAAATTTAATTTCCATCACTTAGATGTAATTTTGTAGCTTGCAGTTTTTGGTGTTGTGTTGTTGGGTTTTTGGTTTGTTTTTTTAAAAAAATACTATTAATTGAGAGAGCAGTCAAATTTCAAGGCTTCCGACTCCTTAACATAGAGAATATTTCATCTTACACTGTCCAACACACAGTAGTATTCAATTCACAAGTAGCTGTTTGTCCCTTCTGGGCAGATCGCCAGCAAGTGACAGGCTGATGAAGCAGCAGTTTACAATCTATGTTATGAACAAGTTCTAATAGAGTGTTTTGAAATAATTTGCACAATAATATCATAAAGAAACAAACATTATTTAATCTAAAACATTTCTAAACTGCTAGAGGAAATGAGCAGCAATTAGAATCATAGAATCATTTACAGATTAACAGATTTTATATTATATTTTATATTTATCTTATATTCTACAATTAACAGATTTCATCAACATTTGTTATTTAAACAACTATTCAAACAAATGCACTCAGAAGAAAAGCTACATCAGACAGTCACAGTTATAGTTGTGAAGGAATAATCATGGGAATGGAAAAAAAACACAAAACAAGACAAACTATTTCAAACAAAAGTATCTTGCAAGGCTAGCTCTATCACCGATACCTCTGGTATGCCTTTTATTCCCATTAAAATGCATATAAGTGGAGCAATAAAACATCTACAACAGCAGATTAAGACCTAATTGCAAAGAAAGTTAGTATGTCACATATTCTCTGGTGATTTAAATCAAGTACTCCAGCCCCATGCTATACCTGACTAATATTCACTAACAAAGCAAGAACTAAGTTCATTTGCATCAATTCCCTTACCACTGTCTTAATTATCTTAACACAGGGCAACTGAAAGAATTCAGTTCTAACACTATCAGCAGGTACTTAAGCATCCCATTGTGAACATATGCTAGGATTCATCCATGAAACTCTTCTTGTGTTGCTTTTTCTTTCTTGCTCATCATATTGCTAAAACGAGATTGGGGAAGGGGAAAATCAGCAGAATAAGGCTATCCGTGTACAACAAAGATTAGAATTAGCAAAAAGACAATAGAATTAGCAAAACAAATGCAACCGGTTATATGCACATGCTCTTTTCGGTAGCCTAGACATTATACACTAAAATACCATCAAATTTTGGAAACTTGGAGAGAAGATATACTTTTAACCTTTAGGTAAAATTACAATAAACTTCGTAAAGGTATCACCACACTGCAATAGGCAACATAAAAAGGTTCTACCTCTTGGTTTTTACCTAACATTTTTACAATAGTAGAACACATTTATTATAGTATAATCACATCTTCAGAGCAGTTGCACTAGCCTCATTTGTGCCAAATGTAAAAAATGCTTGCAAAAACAAGAACTCAGGATAGTTTGTTAGCCATATCAAAAACAAATGCTTATCAAATGCATTGAAAAATAAGTTCTACTTATAAACATAAGCAGCTACAAAACATTTTAATTTCCTCAGTAGAATATTGCTTTTGAAAAACAGCAGCATTAGAAGGCAAAAATAGTTGTCAATATTTGTAACTATTTCCTAAATTTAAAACATTGCAACAAATAACTCAAACCTCATATATTCGGGCAATCCTGGTATAGTTATGTTTAAACATTACTGGCAGTTTAAGCATGAAAATAACCTGCAGTATGTAAACTGACAGAGGACTAATGTTGCAGACATTCACATTTAATTAGTTATGGAGGGATAGTCTTCAGTTATAGATTGATTATTTTAACCTGATACAATTTCATATATATATATTTGCATGCAATGTTTAATCAAGAATATGCTCATTTAATAAACAGCCAAGTAATATGCCAGTGGCTGATTATTTCACAGTCCTTTTCTTGTTGCTATGAGTATCAGCAACCCATTTGAATTGCTACCTGTCTATAGTGATTTTCAACTCAATCACATTTACTGGAAAGTTTTTGCTGGACTTAAGTCAACAGCATACACTTCAGCTTTTGGCCCATTTTGGGTGGTCCCTATGTAATAAACTGAGATAATCACATGCCTCAAGGTATGTTTTAAAGTGGCTTATAAAACTATAGCAAACCTCGAGTCAGAACCCATTACAAAATACCCCAGCAAGACTTAAAGTCATCCTAAATTTACTAATAGCTACATAAAGGGAACAGGTGGTTCTGGTGGGAAAAAATCCACACGCAAATTCCCTTCAAACACTTTTAGAATATTCAAAGACTAAAAGGTTGCTCTGAAAAAACTATGCTAACTTTTTGAAGACAAGTATGAAGAGATATTTCACCACCTCTCTAACAACATTTTAGTATTTATCACGTAGTGCCTATACAACAAACCCAGAAGAATGTCTAAAGCTTTACAACCATGACTATCAAAGAAGCCTGATTTCATGCTGAATATTATTTCAGCTTCATATTCCTTTGCAAAGGGTATCTGCTGAGAAAATTAATACTATCTTAGTTTTCTACAAACCAGTTGATTTTATTGTTTTAGGACAAACTCAGTGAGAGTTACAGATAAAATTTTTTAAGTGTACATGTAGGTAAAATACATAACAATCCTTTCTTCCCTGAGTGCTAACCCTATCGTGCACCTTATTTCTCTGGTCAATTTTCTACATGTCAAACATTTTTACATACCCACTCCCAAATGTTAGTCTAACTGAAGCACTTGATTATATTCTCAAGTCTGCATCTATCATTTTTACTCCATCTCAAGAACATGAGCTAAAGGTTATGGGAATAACCCTCCACCATGGCTGTCACAGGTACACCACAACTCACCCAAATACAAAGAGCCACAAACTGAAACCTGTGGTTTTGAGTGGCTGTACTTAACATGCTCTCATGCCAATATTTCACAAGTGTGAAATCTTTAGTACGAATGACACACAAATCCCTGTGCTTGCTTCACCTTACAAATTCCCAAAGAACTGACTTATTGCTTTTGGTAACCAGAATACTAAACATTAATTTTTATTTAGTGACAGATTATTATTTATGAAGAAGTGTATCAGATACAACTATTTAGTCAAGAACAGCCTAACAAAAAACCTCACCACCTTTGTAACCTACTGTGCTGATTATACACATTGCCTCAGGAGGAAGATACAAAGGTCAAAGCTTAAAGACAATAGTTGTTTTCATTATACTAACGTATTTTAAATTCTTCTATTACAAAAATCAACCCATTAGAAGCAAATGCATTTTCGGCAATTATCTTGTGGTTCCCTAACAGCACAAGCTGCCTTTTAACGTGCAGGATTTTAAAAGAATATACTACTAATAGTATACTAATAATTTCGTTTTGAGAATTCTTTCAACATTCCAGCATCTACAGTTCATGAAGAAGTTGCAAAATGCTAAGCAAATATTTCTAAAGTTTATCAAGGTTTATCAAAGTTTTATCAAGGTCAAGCTTTGATTCGCAATTCAAAGTTTTCTTCAGTACAAATTACTCATTTGCATAGTCTCCTTTGCTAACAGCATTTTTATAAAGATGCAAACAGAAAATTCATTAATTGTCCATCAAGTAAAGGCTGCTATTCACCTGCTGACTACGTGGTATTTTGAGTGTAGTTTCATTCAAATATCGCTACCAACAAGTGTCATGCAGCTTCCATTGCCCACTGTCAAACGCTGTTATAATGGTAGTCCAACAGTTAACCAACTGTTCAAACTTAAATTTGCCCGTTTTATTTGCTATTGTTTGTTTATTTCTTTGGTTCTGTTTCTTTCAAGCACAGTTAAGTCACTGAGGTGAACTATTTCGTGGCTAAAAAAAAAGTAACAATTGTAGGTGCAATTTATACAACTCAATACTTGACACACAGAAACTTTTTTACCTCATTAATTAAATCTGTTTGTTCCTTGTCTTCAGGCTTCTTACAACAAAGATTAATATCTCAGAGATCTCACCAGATGCAAAAGCAAAAGAACACAATGAATATGTACTTCAAAGGTACTCAAGTGACTTACTAACCTAAAGTCTCAGCAAAAATATATTGGTGCATTTAACAATTTTGCACTACAGACTTCATTTTTTCATTCATACCTCTTCATACAAATGGGATAGGCATATCTGATAAATTACAATGAAGATTTGTGCTTGAAGAATAGAATTTCTTTTCCATTCATGAAAGGTAAGTTGAAGCATTTTTTATAAAACTTGCCTCCCCCAGAAAAGAGTTTCACAGATTTCACAGTTCTGTGAACTGCTTCATGTTTCAGTCCTCCTTAAAATATCAGTAAGTGCTTATCTGAGATAAGACAGGGTGGTTGCGAATCATTGCTGCCAGTCTTGAGAGGAAGTTACTGCAGAGGATGGTCAATGCCTTGTCAAAGGCTCCAAGGCATCAGAAATAGTATAATTTTTATTTAAATAAGGATGTTCTAACACATTAGCTCTGTAGCCTCAACCTAGAGCAGCAAGTTTAAGAAACTAATTGAGGAGGAGGAGGAAGGAAGAAATTTTTAAGTCCAGAAGAAAACTTATTTACTATTAAGCATGCAAATGAAGTACCTTAGTCAAGGTTTAAGAGGCATTAACATTTAGATGTCAATTATTATTAGTTAGACTTCCAAAGCATTTCCTTCCTACTATACAAAGTTAGTGCTCCAGGTAAGCATTAAGTGAGAACATTCACCAGTAGTTCAACATCTCCCTTTAAGTAATTACAACCACATTTAGTGCAAGAAGAATGTATGTTTTTCACTCCATATAAGCTAGTATAACATTACTGCAAAATCAGAGAAGGTTATACTTACTGAAGTGAAAATTCTAAAAAACTCTGCATGAGATAGACTCCTACTCCTGACTTTACTGTTTGAAGACACAGAAAGATGGCAGTATGTGAGGAGTAAGCAGACAGCATGTGTACTGCTGGCATTGTTATCCTGGTCACACGGAGTTCAGAAAAGGCCGGACTACTCAAATAACTACTTATTTTTCCAAGCAGAACTGGGAACACAACACCAAACCCACGCTGTTGCAGCTATGTTGCTAGTAATATTCAAGATAATTTATATACAATTATGTGAGCTACAGTCACAGCAATGAGTCCAGTATAGCACATTAAGTTTCCCTAGGAATCTGCTAGGTATACTGTAGAGCATAGCACGTAATGAATGTAAGTCACACTACAGTTGATTAGATAACTGTATAAAATTGAATTTAATTACTATATCTTACTATCTTACTACAACTGTTCCTGTGAGACCTCATGCCTAAGACCTGACTACAGCTCTATTTCTACCTATCCAAATTAAATAATATTGCTAAAAGTCGTAACTTGAAAAAGGTAACACATATATTTAAATGTATAATATAGGTGAAGCAAAGATAAGAACTTCTGCTTCTTCACTAAAGCTAGTGCTTGAAAGGAGCTGACTTTGTATCTTGCTTTTTCACATTTTGTAAGAAGGGGCCTGTCATATGACCCGGACTGAGATCAAGTCCTAGTTCAGTGTTCAGACTGCTAAAGTTCAGGTAATTATTTTCAAAATTATATTTCTGTTCTTTACAATAAGAAAGAAGAATTGCAGTATTTTTACTCATTTCTGTTAGTATAAAGCTCAATATTTTCAGGAAAGGTTTAACGCTTAATAATGAAAAAATATTTCACACAAGTTTTACTCTAATTGTTTAGTAAAAAAGGTAGTAAAGGTCTACCGTTTTCCCTTCTGTAGCAGGTTAATTTACTTTACATTACTATTCATGTTGTTTGATTAAAAGGCTGGATAATACACAGGAGAGTAGAATAAACATTCAGAAGTCCAGTGAAGAGTTTTGGAAGCAGCGAGTTAAAACAGGGGGCGGTTAGGTCAGCAAAATACAGAGAAGTAGGCTTGACAAAGTTTGAAGGGAATAATAATACTTGTTATTACAAAACTCGCTATTACAGGGAGGGAGGGGTAGAAGATCAAGTTTTTGGCAAGAGAAGCAGCGAATTTTGAAAAACGTACATCTTAGAAGTAACTGTTTCTTCTGTGAGTTTAAGGTTTTTTTTAAAAACTTAATCTGAGCTACTTGAGGCAAGGTTTGTGTTTTGTAACCTTTTAGAAAAGTCTGGGTATTATAAACTAGATCAAGATTTAAAATACAATATTCTGCAGGGCCACACACTATTTGGCTATAACATGCACACCTTTACACAATGAACTACACATACACGGATCATCTGTCTAGTTGTTTAATTGTCCTTGTGTTAAAGGCATTAAAAGCTCTGGATAAAAAGTTCCCTGCTATCTCATGTACTAATTGCATGCTTGAAGCTGTTGGGAGGCACAGTTTATGCAGTCCACTACTCAAACACTAGGCTCTAAGAACACATCTTCCCTCTCTGACACTACATTATTTTTGTTGCAATTGTATTTCTGATTTTGTCAGTGGAAAAACATCTCCAGTATTCTCGGTTACCATTGGAAGCAAATGGTCACATTTCTAAAAGGCACAGTCATACCCTTGAATTAGCCTCAAGGTTGATATGCTTCTTGTTTTGCTGTGTTTTGTTTTAGTGTCTTACTTTTAGGGCACAAACTTATTTCCATTACATTACCCTGTTAGAAAAGAGCAGCAGTAAATCTAGTATTAAAACAGAACATCATACAGATACTTTTTAATGCTAATCTGTATATGCCTCCAAAGAAAGTCTCATGGACTTTTTGTTTTTAAGGTAGCAAAGGAATTTTTGTAGCTGAAATGCCATACTTCTGCTGAGTCATCCAGCAGTTTACCAACTCTCACAATTTGCCAAGTTTTGAGGTGAAATGAAAAAGCTCCTTAAAAGCTTATGACAATTCACTGATTTCATATACTAGAAAGGTTAAATTTGAGCACTTCCATAGAGATGACCCAGGAGGATTTGCTAAGCTTCTTGTCAAAACACACAGAAAAGATGAAGAAAATCAGGAAAACAAAGTCTTAAGAAAAAGCTATTACCATTTACTTGCTGAATGCAAGTTTGATCAATGGGATCAATTTTTTTTTTTTTTTTTTTAACTCCCAGCTTTTTAGGATCTTATTAAATAAAGCTTGTCTTCACATCCACTGATTTTTTTTTAATTTAGCATTATTTCCTCAGAGAAGCAGAATAACAATATTTAATATTTTCTGCAGTCAGTAAAGTGCTGAAAAAGCAGAAAAAGTACTATTTTAAATAGCAATAAAAAGTGCACACTTCCTTGAACACTGTAATTCAATGTTTAAAGGAAATGACAATAGCCTAATAAGGCCAAAGAGAACATTAGCCCACCCAGGCTCACTCTCCAATATACTTTACTGCTTTTGTTCCATTTAAACAGCTCACCTGGTGTAGTAATCTCTTCAGTTTCAATAACTGAGTTTTCACAGCTGTGCAGTCTTGGACCATGTGCCGAAGTGTCATTTCATCAAGCATCACAGTATTCTCCGGTAAGCCCACCAGCTGTCTAGGAGCCTGGTAAAAATTTGGTGCTCCATAGCTTTCAAAGTGACCAATAGGAGATTCTAGGTAGTTGGATCCCCTAAAAACAAACAAACCAACCATACACACCACAGTGATGACAAACTAGAACTAGAGAGCATTTAGTAAAAAAGAAAGTGTTATGTAACATGGGCTATATTCACACACTGTGGCGTACAGCAGAAAATAAATAAATCAGAAAATGTCAATCCTATTTGACCTAAATGCTGGGCTTTCCTTCCCATGTGCATAAATCTCTCTCAGACTAACAAGTACTTATAGTACCCTAAAACCAGTTTGCTAATCAGGATCTCTATAAACTCTGTCATTCAATCTAGCCTATAAGAACTGTAGGATTACATTTAATTTAAAATCAAATTAATAAGTAAAAAGCTGTCCAAGCTTACAAGATACAAGTAATAGGACAGTGTAATGTTTTTCCATGGAACACATACAGTAATTTAATCAAGCATGTATAGTATCATGTAAACACAGGTAACAAATTTTTGGATTAAAAACTGTGACAGAAACAGAAGTTTTGAAAATAAATAGTTATAAATCTCAGTGATGCTCCCACTCAGACATGCTATTTATAGACATACAACTATTCTGAAAATGCCTTGTACTCCGTATCACTTGAGACCCTTTAGCGCCAAGAGATTTCTCATTCCAGTATTTTAACTGTTTGGGAGAAAAGAGAAGTCCTTTACCTGTTCAAATCATTTTTACCATGGATATAGTGATCAGTATGGCCAAGATGATAGTGATCCTGTGTATTCCATCGCTGCTGTGGTGCTCTTTTCCAGAATCCTTCCTGATGTGGCCTAGCATTTCTGTCTTGTCTATCATAACGGCTCATATTCTCACATTCCTCTACAGAGAGCATAAAGTAAAAAAAAAAAAAAAGAAAAATTTGTTCCTAAGACCTTGTAAATATAGTATTTACTATGTGCTGTGGTAGCAGATGCAGTGTAAAATCTGTGGGTTTTTATTTTTTTAAACCGATCCAAAAAAGGTATTCATTTTAGGACTGTCAAGCAGACTTCCAATGATGTCACATTTTTACTAGCATATAAAACTTGTTACAAGAATAAGTGTAACCTGTAGCAGAAACTAGAGAATTCAGTCTTAACAGTATTTCAGGTTTGAGGAGAAAATCATTTGGAGGAGGTAGGGCTATGGGCAAGAAAAACAAATAACCAAAAGTAACATTTTCCTGTCTTTCTTACTGACAGGCCTTTTAAAAAGTTCAAACAACACACAAACACAGAAAGACGACATTTTAGAAAAAGGCCAGTACTTCACTCCGAAAGAGAATAGTTTCATTACTTAAAATACATACATATCTCATCCTATTCATCTTGTTTGTTTTTCCACTTGAGAGACATTTAATCTTTATTTACCTGGACAACAGGCATGATCTAAAACAAGCAAACAAAATAATCTCTTTAAAACACTAACTTCCACAAAGCAAAGCAGATTCCACAAACTTCTTAAGGAAACAAAAGCTATATTTGGCAACAGCTTGTAAAACACTAGAAACAAAGCCAAAACAACTGCTATCCGTGCAGCCAGACACAGCAAAAAAAGTCATAAACTGCTATTCTGCCATCGCACTTTCTCCTTCACTTACCCAAGGAGTTTTTCCTCACATTGTCAGTCCTTCGCTAGGAGAATAACTCTACACAAGAGAACACTGGTTTTTTCGGCTGCCTACTCAGACAGTTGCGCATAAGACGCTCATAAACAGGCCTTCCTTCCTGCTTAGTTCCCAGCCTGCGTGTTGTTGGGAACTGAGCCCAGTTTTACCCTGTGATTTAAAACTGCCATCCTCACGCACTGCATACTTGTTGAGCTAGAACTGTTTCTATAAATAGTGTCCAAGCAGCATCCCAGAGTCCAAAGTGAAACAAGGAGAGTTTCCGTAGACCTGGAAAGTCTTTAAGAGGCTGACATCAGTGAAGTCACACGCAATTACAAAAAAAGTGGTGGCAAAAAGCGCTGTTAAATATTATTATAATAAATACTCATATCTACAATTCAGTTTTTATCACTAGTTCAATAACCAAAAAATTAGGTAAGAAAATAAACTTGTTCACCGAAAGTAACAGAAGATTTCTTTTCCGTTAGAAGCATCCTTCTACAGCTCATAACACATGAAAATTCAAGTGGGTCTGTTCAAAATAAGCCCTCAATAAGCTTATAAGTAATTATTATGATTTTCAGCTTTGGAAAATGGAATTGAGACACTGAGTAAACACACATGGATATTAACAAAGAACAAATTTCACTTTTTCAGGTGGTCATGTTTACTTAAGGGAAAGCGTGGAGGTGGCTTTTGAATTCTTCTTTTCAGATCCTCTTTGCTAAAAATCCAGTGCTTTCAAGATAAGAAGTGATTATAGCAGAGATACCCAGTTTATGCCACATTAATTTTATATGGAAACACAACTTTTAAAAAAATGCCAAAAATAGTAATTAGCTAATATTAATTTCAAACAGTAAGTTTCCCCTCCTGAATCAGCAACTTACACAGCAGACTGTCAAAGTCACAAAACATATTCCAGCTACACAAACATTATTGATACTTAACTGTAGAAGTGGGAGTAGGTTTAAATTCATTATATTGATGCAACTAAGAAAGCAGTGAATTAAAAATCGTATTTCATTTGTGTCTAGATTAAATGGCAGACGTGGACTTTTTATGTTTTTAAAGGTGAATGTTTGCCACAAAATGCATGTATTTCTAGCAGTTTTTAAATTAATAATTTGAAATGGAATTACTGATGTAGATGCAGTGCATGTTTTATAAACAAGGAAACTTATGAGAAATTGATCTACCCTTCTAAAATTGTTTCTTAGTTTTTCCCAACAGAATTAGAGTTGCCCTTAATGAAAGAATATCCCCCAGGCTTGGATGTTATCCATTCTGGAAAATTAAAAAAGTAAAAAATAAAAATTGTACACCTATCTGGGCTGAAAAGTTGAATACTAGCACTATTGTCAATAAGCGCCTTTCACACAAATACTTTGGAAAACTTATTCTGAGATTTAAAAGATTAAGTACTGCACTTCGTATGTGTGCACTGTTAAAACATGATGTGCCACTATTGTGGTAGATGGAAGACTATGTATTTATTTACTGTTAATTTGGCTTCACAGCTAACATACACACAGGAGTCTCCACCCAAAGAACTCAAAGGTGATCTCAGAAAAAAACTGAATATCCCCAAACTTCAGCAGGCAGCTGAACAGTACACAAAATAAGGAAAGCCTTTTGTCTTTCAGTGCCTGTTTGCACAGGATAGGGCATTACAGTGCTCCACATTCAACGTTTCTGTTAATTTGAAGATATATTAGCCTCCACTGAACTTGGAGGTAAAACTAATACCCATATTCACATGACAGTGACAATTCTTATGAGTAGGTCAGGAATGACCAAAAGCAAACGCCTCAAACTTTTCCAGGCCAGGATTTGAGAAAGCGTGGCAAAAATTTGCCTTACCTAGTTCATTCTAGTCTGAATTTGTATTATTTTAGTGGCATCTAGGTACCACTATCCTTCCTGTGAAAAGTTTGCCAGCATCATCACTGACAACAAGAGTGCATAAAAGACATCTTGAGAAAACACATCTTAAATCTTAAGGCTCCTGTTATCTTGAATTGTATAAAATATATTCGGAGATATTGTCATTTTGTAGAAGAAAACAAATCATTATCTCAAAAAGAATTACACTGTCATTCACCAAAGTTGAAAAAATGCTGTTCCAACATTTTCAAATATAGCTGAAGCATAAGACTGAAGGCCTAACTTAAAAGTTTGACATTTATTCCACTAAAATAGTTTAAAGAAACAAACAGTGTGCAACAAGGTTGCATTTTTATAAAAGGCAGTAAGTTTTAACTTTAGAATTCTTCAAATGCAAGAGTTGTATTTGGTGGAACAGAAATATCACACTTCCTACATTTCAGAAAAGAAAGAGTTGTTAAAGAAAAAACAATTTGAAGAGTGCATTGGCTTATTAAAGCACAAGTCAGAACAATGCAACTCAAAAATCTCTTAAGCCCATAATGCAGTTTCACAATAAGATTGCTTGGCTAATTTACTAACCTTTGTCATGAGGTGGGTCCTCAGGCAGGTCCACATCAAGCATGAGATCATCATCTTCAAGATCACATGAATCAAGATTATTCAAGATATCCTGCAAGAAAGAAAATGTGAGATACAGCTTCTTTCATGATATTTCATTTACCCTACTGTCATAAAAAGTTTATTTCAAAGCTTCATGACATTTGTATTGTACACATAGACAATGTTATCAGCAGCCTCCTCTCTTTAGAGGCCAAGATCACCTTACTTGAGACCGTCTATACAAACAACAATCATCACACCTCTAGTAATATGATACAGTAACAGTGCTAGATGAAACAAAGATGGATTAAAACATTTTTCTGCCTAATGCCTATGGAATATTCCAAAGATTTTTCTATTCATTAATATCCTGCCTGCTCCCCAATAGGAAGCATTTTAAAACTAAATTACTTTACTCACTTAGAATTCAAAAACAGCTTTGTGAAGAGAAGATGTTAAATCACTTTATTTTAGCTCTCATATCATACTCTCACAACATCATTGAAAGGAAGAGGGGGGAACCTATGTTATCTTGACTTTTTGGGCAACAAAACTTAAAATAGGCTATTATCACTAATAAGCTCTGCTGCCTTTTGTCTTTAAGATTGTGGTTCATATAAAGCTGTTTCTCAAGGAACTAATAAACTGTCATGTGCATGAGTGTGCTAATAGTACAAGAAAAATGCAATAAAGTGTTAGTACTAAATGGAATTATACATATTAGATATAGTCAGTCAAGTATATTAAAGAAAAAGGACTGCAGTGTGGGCAAGTCAAGTCAGTGTTAAAAAGACAGAAACTGACCCCTCTTCCTTTAAGAACACCAACAGCAGGAAAAACTCAAGAGGTCAAGGCTGTAGAATATTCTTATTGCGCGGTCAGATGCTGCTAGCACCGTGCTCCTGAAAGCCACATCAGGCAACAAAGTGCAGTACTCGATGAGAGAACCCAGACTCCGTTTCACTTCATTATTCAAAGAGAGCTAAACTTACTAATACCACGTGATTATAATACAAAGTAAGTCTTAGGAAACTGTTAATGGTTATACAGCTCTAACTCGTGAGCTCTGTTTTCCCCTATCCCACAAATAAAAGCCATAGCTTTAAGGCCCAGGATCAGACTCAGGCACTTCACACCTGCCTCTTTTCTAAGAGCAGAAATACAGATTTTTCTTAGGTTTAACAGCTACACCTAAAGATGATTCATGGGACCAATACCGAAAAATTTACCAAATATTAAGTAAAATAAGTGTTTTACTAATTATTTCTCACTGGATAATAAAGTGATCATTAAATACTTAACTGAATACTTGCATACAGACTATCAATACACTGCAAAACAATATTCACTTGGAAAGCTATCCCTTTGCTGGCTACCATTTATTAGATTCGCTTTGTCAGAGATGTATAGGTGAAAAGGAAGAACATTAATAGGCATTTGTCTAAACTGTCACTTTAACTGTTCTTCAGCAGTCTTCCTATAGTTTTCACAAAGGACTACTGTATTTTATTACAAATGGTGGGAAGAGCTAAGTATATTTTAAGGGTTTTTTTTGTGACAGGACATTAAGCTTTCTACATTTCTGCAGGGGAAGTTATTTATTGACTTAGGAGGGAAAGTATGAGATGAAAATAGTTAATATGCACTTTGTAAAACATGAGCAATATAAAGAAAAGAGGGAATACTTAAAACAGAACCATCTGTTTTTGTTATATTTCAAAGTCCTACCTGAATTATTTAGTTTACATATAGTATTCTAAGTATTTACAGGAAAAAAATAGAAAAACCTACATATCAGGGCATTGTGAATAATAATAAAAGCAACTATGGAAAAGCTTCACAGAGAAATGGAAGCCATTTAAAGGAAACGTGTATTTAACATTTGGGAGAACAAACTGCCTGTATATATTTACTTCTTTTTGTTTCCATTAATTTACATTTTTCCAGGAACTAGAAGATTTTTAACTAACATGTATTTTTTAAACAATTCTGCAAAACGTAGATGTGTTTGAGAAGCAGCTTTGGTTTGTTAATTGATAAATTGTTTCTATGCCATGCTTTGATCTTCCAAATTAGTATGAACAAGCATTATTTTCTTCTACTAGGGAACCCTAATGAGCATGACAAATAAACTACAAACAGTGGCCACAAACATACAAGTTGAAAACATTGGCCATTGCTGTGCAAAAGCATTGAAAAAAAGCACAATATAAAAACGCAGTATGTCAGAGGGTTAACTAATAAACCTAGATAAGCCACTTCACTATCTCTGTATCAGAACTTCAGAAGTCTAATGATGTCAGAGAAGGTCAGCATTTGAGATGCCAAACATACTTTTCTGTCAACAACACATTTCATTATAATTCCCTAATTATACATTCCCGCATCACACTGAGGCAACTCCATGCTAGAAAACACAACTGTGAATATGAAGTCTTTATAATAGCTGGGCCTATAATAATATAATAATAATATGTGAATTCACTGTGAGTATTTCCCAATGCTATCTACTTGAGAAACGTAATATAAAAGTACATGTCAGCAATGTCATCTTGAAATAGCTGTAAGATAAAGTGCAGGCTTCATCAACACATTAGTACATATGAAACCTACATTTACAGACTTCCACTGTTATTCTTACTATTGTATAACGAACTGAAGTTAACTACATGGCAGTAACATTGTTAATGATGTGTGTACTTAACAGCAATTATCATCATGAAGTGATTCTGGGCAACAAGCTCAAACAGAACAGGAAATAAAAAATTCTTCAAAAGTGCATCAGCTCCAACCCTACAGAATATTACATGTCTCAGCAATTACTAAAAGTTACAATAAGAGAAGAATCCTTTTTTATTTGTATAGTTGAAAAGAATAATGCATATTAGAAGGGGCACATAAATCAGCCTTCACAAGGCTGATTTAGCACTAGATTTTCAAGATGGTACAACCTAGAAAGAGATTAAGTTTGGGACTGTGAAATCCCAAGTCAAACTACAATGCTGTGTCCAAGCTCTCCCTCCAGAAAAGTTTTCAACTGAACACAGGCAGTAGTGCTTTGTTCTCTTACTGCAATAGAACAGGAAAAGCATTAGGTGAGAAACATATAATCTATGACTACTGGTATAAGAACTGAGTAAGTTGAGAACCCCAACAGCAGGTAACACTCATACTGCAGAAGGAGATGGGAAAACACTACATAGAGAGGCAAGGGTAAGGCTGGCGAACAATTACACCATATTTAGCAAGTTTACTTCAGTGTTCTGCAAATTCTCTCTGCAGTGACTGCCCTTAGGTGCTATGTCTTACCAAAGGTTAATCAAGCACACACCAACAGCTAACCCACAAGAGCTTGGAGTTTTTGCCTAACTTGTTGGACGCGTAGAGTTCAGAATCTCTTTCTTAAGAGACATAATATTAAGTTCTTAAGACCAATGCTTTGAAGATTGGGGTACTGTAGAGCAGCTACTTTTGCTGAAGCTGAACAAGTTTACAGTTCAGTATAAATTCATGTCCATCATAATGAACTGGAGTAGCAAAATATTCTTTTTAAACAGTTCAGTTTCTAAAAATTCCTCATGTTACATACATCATAAGCTCTCTCTTCCACTGAAGAGCAGTACTTTTTAGTCCACCAACTTAAGTTCAATTTAGCTTAACGGATAGACCTAGGCAAAAGGCCTGACTCTCAGCTTTCCCATTTCTTGAGCTAAGTATATAATGCAACTAAAAATAAATTACAGTGTGCCCAAATTAGAAGAAGAATAGATGTCTACATTTCCTCCCTGCTAACGTAGAAGATGTGGACCAGTGAAAGCTTATGACACAATGTATATTACACTGGAATTAAAAAAAGAAAAAAAAAAAGGAAGAACTCGGGCATTGGGGCTAGTGCAGAAATACAAAGCAATTCCAGATAAGCAACCTTCAGACAATTTCAGAGAGTGTTCACAGAACTGAGAAGAGCCTGAGCTCAAAATACCAATTCAGTACCCTTCTTTTCATACCAAAGTATGATATCTTGCTTGAAAAGCAATTCCACTGAGGTAGTCATGATCTGTTGGTGAATATTAGGAACGATGTTTTACCTTTTTCCACAATTCAAGATCTCAGACCTCATTCATTTGTTCTACCTTTAGAAAGCAGGCTGTTGAAGGAAAATAATTAATTATTTTTGTTACTGATTTAGCCGGTTAGGTCTTGCTTCCAGTAATAATCATGTACTTCTGAAGTCAGTGGAAAATGGAAGTAAAAGCTCACATGCAATTTAAGTATTCCATAGTGTTTACTTAAATTGAATACACATAAAAATTTCTTCAGTTTGAATTGCTCTACATCCTGATTTTTTTAAGCCTATATGCATGATTTACTTGATCTTTTACTTGCTCAAAAAAGACCATATGAGCAATGCACGTAGATCATATAATAAAAAAGATTACAACTCCTTAAAAACTTCAAACAACAAAAATTTTAAAGGATAGATATCACCACTTCGGGGAGAAAAATGAAACTACAGAAAGCACGTCTACAAGCTCAAAATCTGGCAGCAGAAGATGTGTCATCTAGAGCATCAGTATATAAATACCTTTCTGGCATGCCTAGTTTTGATGTTAGTGTTCACATAATACTTTCCCAGGTTACTGACAATGCATTTATAGAAGCTTTATCTGACATTAAGGTAATCTCATTTAGCAAAAACTTTACTGTTAAATCTGGTTGGATATTATGAAAAGTAAACATGCTAGGCCCTTTCCAGTATATATTTGTTGTTTACTTAAAGAATACAGCAGTAATTACAGGTCACTTTGTTGAATGACAGCACATTATAGCACGTTCCGTTTATTTAGTTACACTTCAATCTTTTGTACAAACAAATCATCAGTAGGTTAGAATCAGATTTCAGACTTGTAGTTAGTTATTCTTACAGTACCATGCTGTATTCCTTTTGATGAAAATGTATTATAGCAAGTATCAGCAATGACCACTATGAAATCAAGGTTATTTTATGACTTCCATTAGTTAAAGGTGCTTTACTTATTCTGAACATTGTTAGTCTTTATGGTCAAATTT